CCTCTAACACTTTCAAATGAATCACTATCCCCTAACTCAAGATCATGCTCTTCCTCAAATATACCCTCAGACAAAAACTCATTTTCAATTGATTTACCATTATTTTTTTCATTCACCCCAACAAATTCTGCATCTTTGTCAACATTTCTGTCAAACAAAATATCATCCTCATCCATATCATAGTCACTATCATTGAACTCCTCACATTCTGAATCACTATCATCAACAGAAGCACACTCTTCATTTTGTTCATGTTGTTCAGATTGTACAGATTGTGCATGATGTTCATGTTGTTCAGATTGTTCAGGATGTTCAGGTTGTTCAGGTTGTTCAACATTAGAGTTCAGGCTACCCAAAAATGAGAGGTCAATGACAGGATCACTTTCAACCTCAAGATTAGAGTAGTTATCACCATGATGTACATGTTCTAAAACAATTCTCACTATTCTGTTTTCAGGAATAAGGTTCATGACCTTATATGCCAATTGATCACTATCAATAATATGACTACCATCTTGTAAACTAATTCCATGCACATGCCAGGCATTCACATGATCACTGTTATAACCTAGTTGCTCTATAAAATCCTTTAACTCAATCAACCCAAACATCTCCCCATCCACCCCATCAAAATAATCCAAATACCCACCTCGGTAATCTTTCACAGGAATATGCAACATTAAACCACCGTGCAGAAACTCAATTGTGAAGAGAGTTGGTTCCAACAAAGGGTCTACAACACAGAAAAAAAAAAAATCAAATAAACAGAACTGAAAAATAGTATGCATAAACACATAGTGACAACTGAAAAACCCCTAATTTGTTCAGATCATAATCGAAAAACCCCTAATTTGTTCAGCCCTAAAAAACCCTAATTTTTAGGGCAACTCACAATAATCAGATAATACGGAACTTTTCAAAATTAACCATATAATTTCCATTAATTCAAAAAGTTAGTGACAAAATGAAGTGAAAAAACTTACCGTATTCAGGTTGCAACCCACGTATAATCCTTCTCGCCATGGAGTCAGATGGGCCGTCGCAGTTCTAAATATGCTCGTTGCAAATCAGAATCTTCTCGTCGCAAATCTGAAATGGAAGCTCACAATGACCAGTCGATTGCCCACTTGAACGCGATAAATGAATGAAATTTTTGTACATGTAAAATGTTAGGGTTTTTTTCACAGCAATTAGGTATGCTCGATTGGGAATTGGGAAAATTAGGGGAAACCGATTATTTAGGTTTCATTGGGGAAAAGAACCGGCTACAGAAGGTGATGGTCAGTTGACTCACGGTCAACTGACGCTTCGGGCAAAAATGATTGATTTTAAATACTTTAGTGACTGAAAGTGATTAAGTGTAAATCATGGGTATCAAAAGCGAAAAGTAGGTATACCTGGGGTATCAAAAGTGAAATTTTTCCTAAAAGATACAAAACCTGAGGGTATTATAGTAGTTTTAAGTAAGAGAAAGGAATATACGAAATCGGTCATGCCCCGGTGTTGTGTGGGTTGTGTTTGTTTGTACCACAGGGAATGAGGAAAGTGAATGATAACGCAATTTGTTGTTCAGGATAAACTAATAAAGTATTAGGCAAAGCAAATTTTTGTGTGGAATAATTTAGGACCGGCTTGATATAAATAAAAATCCACGAGGTTTTTTAGTTAATTATAATTAATATTGAAAAAAAGTAATATGATTAGTTGTTCCTGAAATTTTGAGTTTATATTAAATAACATTTAAAATAAAATAATTAAAGTTGATTTTACCTACAAGTATGAGATATATGATTACTATAACAAAATGATGAAATTCCAACGGAAAGTTCCAATACAAATATATCTTAATGGAATTGCAACAGAAATTCCAACAAAAATATTTCGTTGGAATGAGTTTTTTATTCCAATTTTCGTTGGATTTTAACGATTTCAACGGTAGATTTTCCAACGGATGTGGATATAAAAATTTCAACCAAAACTGCATATTCCAATGGAAATTCGTAGGGTAAAAAACCATTAGAAAAATAGCTGTTACTACAAGAAATTGTCAAAATGCCAACAAAAATTACCAATAAAAATTTTTTCGTTGGGGATTACCAACGAATTAGCAATGCATTATATATATAATTTTTATAAGCGGAACCAACAGAATACTAACAAAATATAGCGACGGAAAATTATATCTTTGTATTCCGTTGGCAAATAGTGACGGAAAACCTCGGGGTCGAGCTCGGCGGGGATTTCGGCGCCCGCTCCACCGAACCCGGTGGCTGAGAACGTTCTCCCGCAGGAAGCCGAGATTCCCTCTGACTCGGTGCCGACGGCCCCGGGCTCTGTGCGTGGAGGCCGGGATGGGGGTCGCGGCGGCCGAACTGGTGCTCGTGAGGCCGGTGTTGGCCGTGGTCGAGGCACTACCGGTCATGGCACTGCCACGCGGCAGAAGAAGCGTCGGCTCCTTGTAGAAGAGCCGGTGGACATCGAGGAGGAGGTGGAAGCCGAGAGGCAGAATGAGGCTCCGCCGCCTCCGAAGAAAAAAAAAAGCCACCGAGGTCGAGGTCGAGAAGATGTCTCTTACTGGTGAATCGTCAGCCTTCGTTCACCAGGCCGGGTCCTCCACCTACGTTTCCATGAACCCGAGCCGCAAGGCTAGCCTCAGCAAGAGTCTTGAACGGTTTCCCGATCAATGGTTCATAGACGCGAGGTCGGCGGTCCCGTTTGACTTGCCCAACCCCTATCATCTTCATGGGGAGGTACTTTCGGCCGCGCGGGCCATGATGACCGCGTGGACCCCAGTCGCTGAGCCGGCGGTGACCATGCTCTCCCCAACTGAGCTCGCCTAGCATTCAATGGCGACCATGGGCCGGGCTATAATCGAGCTGGTACACGCTGCCGGGGTCATGCAGTGGGAGGTGGCTGCCCGCAACAAGGCCGAGGAAGACCTCGCCACTTGCAAAGGACGCATCATCGAGCTGAAGGATGAGACCAAGAGGATATCGATGCTGAAAAACGAGCTCGTCCTTCAACAAGGGGCGGCCGCCGTGGCAGAGAAGGCGGCCACCAAGGCTGTTGAGGATTTGCCCGCGAGAAGGCGGCGTGGGCCGAGAGGATGGCCGAGCTGGAGAGACGGCGGGCTGCCGAGTTGTCGGAGAGCAAGAGACGCCGGGCTGAAGAGGTGGTCGGGATTGAGGAGAAGCATAAGGCCGACTTGGCCCACCTCGTTGAGCTGCACGCTGCTGAGGTCGCGAAGCAGATAGGCGGCGAACCTATTGCTCTTCCTCCACTGGCGACCTTTGCCGAGGTCCATGCTCAATATTTTGAGGAGATGAGGGAGAGCATGGACATGGCAGCGGCGTTCAACCTCTAATGGTTATTCCAGCGGCTCGACGCTGGGGTGCTTTCTCTCGAGGACTTCAAAGCCATACTTTCTGAGAAGGCGGGCCGGCATGATCTGGATTTTGAGGGTCAGATCTGTGACATCGACACCGACAACGCCGCGGTGGTCTAGAGGTTCCGGGGTTGGGCCGACGATGCCGTCGTCGGCTTCCAGAAGTTTGGTGCCGTCCCTTCTTCGGAAACGTGGCGCCTGGCCCCCAAGGAGCTTCTCCCCGATTATGAACGTTTCGGGCCGGAGGTTGACTCCGACCCCGGGTTTCAGCCACGACGCGGTGCCGTTCTGACGGTGGTCGCTGAGATGGAAGAGGCTGAAGCGGCGGCAGACGCCGAGGCGGGGGTCGGTACTTCGGGGGTCAAAGAGGCGGAGGGCGCGACCGAGGAGCAAATCACCCCCCAGGACGCCGAGGTCATTCCCGAAGGCTCCGAGCTTGCCTCCTAGGCCCTTCTTTTTACTGCCTGCTTTTGCCGGCCTGCGCGCCGTGGTGATGACCATATGTGGTCCTTTTGAACACACTTTTTCTATGCTGATTTGGCGCTTTGTACCATGAATATTTTTAATTTGTCTTGAATGAATGGTATTTTACTTACGTGCGTCTGCGAATTCTTATTTAATTAATTTGTAAAACTTTCGTCCGGCCGGTGTACCGGGCTGGATGCTTATTATTCGATTGGTCGAGCCTCGTGATCGGGCTCGGCGCTTTTTGTTTGGTTGGCCGAGCCTCGTGATCGGGCTCGGCACTTTTTATTTTCTTGGTCGAGCCTCGCGATCGGGCTCGGCGCTTGTTATTTACTTGGCGCATTACCTGTCGGATTTACCCGTTGAATCGGGCGATGGCTTGGCCTTGTCGAGCTTCGTGTTTGAGCTCGTCGTTCATTTCTT